AGCCACACAGCAGCTAGCTTAAGCAGCACCGAGAAGAGAGAAGGCCTAGCGTATGCACACTTCTGCGGATTTGACATATCTCATTTCTCTGCAGATTTGACATATCCTAACTTAAATCTTGCACTCGAAGTCCATTACACTTCCACTACTCAAGGAGACGTATACCGTCCAAGCCCTTCCACCCCAAATGGCGAACAACACTTGTCTCGACAAGTCTTAGAGTTGACAAGTGCCCTCGCGTAGCTGACGACCTTGGTGAATCAGCTTTTGTAGCATACCAAGATGCAACGTACCCCAGATAAGGTGTCCCGAAGCAAGACAAAGGAAGACGATGAGCCTCTTCAGCAGTGTCCCGGTAAGCAGCCTATTCACCAGTCACAATTTGGGCATTTTGGCAGTGTACACACCTGACTAGGCCAACAGACGAACATAAATTCACAATTAGGGCCACACTTCGATAATCAACATGAGCAACCTTTCAGGCGAAGTGTTTATTTATAGCTAGGCCTGCAAGAAGCATCCTTCACTTCACATCAGAATATGAAACAGGGCGGACGTAGAGAAACAGTCACACAATCAGGCTCAAGTTCAATCGGTAGCCTGCGAGTAATTCGCTCGCCTAGTAGGAACGTACCACATGCACCGCAACCATGACATAGACAAGCCGAGCACATGGAAGAGAAGCATAGACCAACAGGTCACGACCAGAAGCAGTCGAAAGCTCTGCTGCCCTACTAGAGGAAAATTCAGGAAGAAGTTGATAGGCTCCTGACCGAACGATTACGCGATTTCTAGCTCAACAAAGCTATTGATGAGGCGCTCCAACGAGACATGACCAACATAAGTGGGTCACCTTTCATTGACAAGATCGAGCAAACGGGACTATCCTACATAGATTGTTGGATACAAAGATTACTTTTATTCCAACAAATGCAGCAGCTCAGCCTAATGATGCGACAAAGGCAGACGAGTACCAGAATGACACATCAACCTAACTACCAAGAACCGGGGGCATGCCTTGTTCTCAACATTCTAGACGATTTAATACTGAAGCAGCACATCACTAGTAGCTGAGCATCACATACCTAGTGGTCCAAGTCATTCTATTGCGCACAACCTGGCCCAAGCCAGCCCCAACTCTGCGCTTATAGCCATGCTTACCTGCTTCACGGCTCCCGACAACCCTTGATCTATCACCATGGCTCCTAACTATGCTGATCTTGCACCACAGCTCATAGTCGTGCTGATCTTGCCCTGCGGCTCGCACCGACCAAGCCCATGGCACTTTAAACTTCAAAGCATCTAATGACGGAGCAGAAGACAAGGCTTTATTAGCAGCCCCAACTAGCAAAAGACTTAGCAGTGAAGAAGCTTGCAATTCATTGAGATTCTCAGTTGATTACCAACCATGCCTCAAAAGAGTACACGATCAAACATCTAACGATGATGCAATACTTGAAGAAATTATGGGAGCAGCTCATCGCGTTTCCCACGTACACCTTTATGCTAGTTCCACAAGCAGTTTGATGTCTCAAAAAGATTGCCGAACAAGACCTCACGGGCTGAGGATTATTTCAGTTGTCTAGCAGTCCAGTTTTCCTCAACTAGGCTCACTACAACGACTTCTATGCTTTCCAGAGCGAGAAGGTAAACTAATTCCCCGACACCCGTCTGGGTCTACTCTCCAGTGTGAGAGAATATACTAATTGCTCTCCATCTGGGTCTGCTCTCTAATGCGAGATGATAAACTAATTGCTCTCCAGTGCGAGATGGTAAACTAATTCCCCTATAACCATTTCGAACTGCTGTCCAGTGTGAGATGATAAACTAATTGCTCTCTAGTGTGAGAGGATAAACTAATTCCTCGACACCTATATGGATTTGCTCTCTAGTGCAAGATGATAAACTAATTGCTCTCCAGTGTGAGAAGGCACAACTCAAAAGATTGAATACTCAAAGACCAGCTGAGCAGCAAATAGTTAGGGGGCAACAACCACTGAACACTCAAAAATTTGTTTATCCGCCACTTTATCGTCAACATCTCCTTCTTTGATTGCTTAATCTACGACAACTGAGAAATCAAACTTAAGCAATTTCCTTATTCTTGGCAAGCAACCTAGACATTGTAGACCAAACCGTGGCCCATGCCATGCCTCGGCCTATGCAAAGCCAGCCCTTGGCTTCAGTAAAGCCAAGCAACACAAGTTGTGGTCTCTGCCACACCACCTCCTCGGCCCATGCCAAGCCGACTCTTGACCCTTACTAGCCGACGTACTGCACCACCCCAACGGCTGCCCCGTGATAGCACCACTCGAGAAAAGACAAAGAAAATTAAGTTTTTCTTCATTGGTGTACGCAGAGAAGACAAAGAAATCAACAGAAGATGGTTCTTTGCATGGGCAAGCAAATAAAAGTGCTAGGGAAGGGGGAACAAATATCCTTTAGCTTTCTCTCTTTCTTGTAGGGATAAATAATTGCCCTCCGAAGTTGATTTAATCCCCTATTTAAGGTAGGCTTAAATAATCTAATTCCAAGTCCAAGCGGGAATCTGCATCAAAGTTGGAGATCTACACACCTGTTGCCCTTTCCTGTGAGCAGCGTAGTAGGTGTGGGGGCATTTGTGGAGCCAAAAATAATCATGAAAATTATGGAGGTGACACATGTACTTTTGGGTAAAAAGGACAAAATTACCCTCAAGGCACACTGGGATTCCTACGCATATGCAAAGGACAATAATGGCTCAATCAAGGAAGAGTCAAAGGTGATCAAAATGACATTTATTCAAAACCCTCTCATCACTCCTCATCAAATTCTCACTCCAAAGGTAACTCCCAATTTTCCTATTCAATTTGAGATTAATTACCAAGTTAATTGGAAGATATTATTTCACATAATATCTTGCAATTACACTCACAATTTGACCATATGTGGCCAGCCCCTATTCTCCAAATAAGGCCGGTCACTCCCCTATAAATAGCCATGTTTTCCCACTAAAATGCTAAGTCATTCTCTCACCAAAAATTCCCAAACACATTCCCTCTCAAATTCTAACTTTGGCATCAGAGATTCTTCGGCCAAAGCCCTCCCCATTTTTCATGGGTGCTTGAGACTTTTGACCTTAATTTTAAATGTTATTATTTTGCAGGTGCATTTTCGTCAAAGGAGAAGATGACGAAAATTTGCATCCATATCTGGATTTTTAAACTCTAGTGGTTAATGTGGTTTTTAGGTTAATTTTTCAAGTTGGGGAGACGGGGTGGGTGGGGGCTTTAAATTGTTATTCTCAGTTGGTATATAAATATTTAAATGTGCAAAACATGGATATCATACAAGAATTCAAATGTTCTTCCTGCATTAGGTTAGAGAGCATGATCATTTTCTGTTTGCACATCACAATGTTTGTTTTGAGTACTTCTCACGCCATTGAGGCACAAATGTTCTTCCTGCATTAGTTAATTTTCTTTATATCAAAATTGAATAAATTCAATTTTCCTTTGTATCCAAATGTATTCAAGCAATTGTGATTGAAGTTGTACCCTGTTTTTATTCAAGCCCTATTTTAAATGTATGATTGGTTTATGTGAAATGAATGAAAAAGAGAGTTAGAATACCCTGTGAGATGATCGACTCCAAAACCCATTTTAAATCAAACGTATCAAAAGTGTTGAGCGGAGAGCGAACAAATTCTTTGCATGAAAAATAGATTTCACTTTGTTTTCTTTTCTCAGAGTGCTCTTATTTGATCTGGTTCTGTTTTGGTTGCATAGTCCGTAGTTTGCTGCGACTATCAATCGTTTCCTAAGAAATCTATTGAGCTAAGTTCTTTTTGGTAGGAAATTAGGGTTGCTGATGTTAGCAATGGATTGAGTCTTTCTGTTTGGCATGATTATATCTCTGAACAAGCATTAATAAATAGAACGATTTCGATAAATCATTTTATTCGGTCAAGATGCTATATTCGCATATAGGGGGATACGTGCATCCCCCACAGAGTGATGCTAGTATTGTCCAATGCGAAATCCATGCCTTAATTGGTTCAGCCGTTCTTATTAAACATGGATTAATCCAACATTTTAAACTTGCATGTATTAGACTGGAATTTCCACAAGAAAATAAAATAACGTTTCATATGAACCACCTAACACTTCAGGTACAAATATATTGATTCCTTGTTTTCTCCACTCCATATGCTTATGATCTGGCCTTATAAAATCAATTTGTAATTATTTAGTTGGATGGCATTTCATTCAATAAAGTCAGCTGTCATGTTCCTTTCCAACTGTAAGATAAATTAGTTACTTGAAGAAATATAGATGAGATCTTCAGCTATTTTTTGGTTTGGATAAGAAACACAATTTGTATTACATAAAGAGGAAGATGGTTGCCCAGCATGTGGAAAAAGGCTAACATCAATTTTTCAGTCTTCACAGAATTATAGCCTTATAAAAAATTATTTTTAAATGACCAGTGTCAGGTCATACTCATATATCATCTCTAACCGAATGGGCTAAACATAGCTATCTCAATTGTTTATTGGTTATAAGTTTATACTTTAAATTTATTGGTTAATTTAGTTAAAATTACCGTAAGATGTTTTCAAATCTAGCCATTGAGTTTGAAGCAATGATTGCAACTAAGAAGCTGGGTACCAAAAAGGGGGTTCAGTGAGGGGCTACATTTGGTCAACCTAATGCCTCTTTAGCCAAATAATGGTCAGGTGGGCTCCATAATAGAAGATGAATTTTTTGACAAATCAAGCCATTTTTTTGCTTTTGGACGTTTAGCCCTCTCCATTGGTGACGACCTTATTATTGGAGGTAGTGCTTTCTAGATGTTGGTTTTACAAACTGAAACATTTGCTTGGTATTTATACCTCAATATTTTTTATTGGAATAACTGATCGTTCCTTTTAGATACATTTTGTGCTTTTCTCGTGGATTACTATCTCTTAATTTCCTGTCAAGTTGATGTATCTTTCTATTATTTGATTGTATTACATTATTGGTTGGGTTATAAGTAACATATTAAACATCAAGTTAGATGCTTGCCTTTTGTATGAATTTGTTGCTATCAGTATTGTCATGATGGAGTCGTGCCTGACGTTATTCAGTTTACACAGGAAATACAAGCCAGCTTGACGATAAAACGAAACATTTCATTGGTCCAAGACTGAAAGCTTTTTCTGATTGGCTCCTCAAATCTATGGTATCTGGTAATCTGGAAGCCATATTTCCAGCACCTACTCGTGAATATGCACCATTTGTTGAGGATTTGTGGAAGGATCCTGCTATTCAAGCCACATACGACCGGAGGAATGAAATACAAACGCTGCCCAGACCAGCTGCATATTTTCTTTATCGGGTGAGATCACGCTCTGTGTTCCTTGCCCTTTAGTTTTTAGCCAATTCACACTCTCAAAGTGCTTCTGCTCTTTTGGTTTTTGAGTTTTCAATTATTTGATGGGCCAGATGCTCAGAATGTTTCTTTAGATCTTGTGGATAAATTTAGATATTAACATGGAACGTGGATAATACGCTATCTCTAAATTTTATGCTTGTTACTCGATTCAGATGCTTATTCTTCTGAGCAGGCTGTTGAGATTTCAAGGACAGATTATGAACCCTCAGACATGGACATCTTGTATGCTGAGGGAATCACCTCATCCAATAGCCTTACGAGCATGGAATTTTCCATTCCCCAATCAGCAGGAAATAGCAATCTGGACCCTCCTTACCAGCATGACCCTTCGTTAAGGTTAGGTTTCGTGATTCATGCATCAAGAATATAATGCTTGAGCAACAAATGCATTAATCTTTCTTCATTGAGTTGGCCAATCTCTTGCTTAATATTGCTGATTAAATTTAGTGTCGACATGGTTTGCCCAATGGATAGAAATTGGTATGCAGTTTTAGATTAGTTATAAATAGGAAAAGTCGTCTACGCTACGTAACACATGGTTAAGATGAAGCTTTTATAATACATACACCATAATCAGTGGAATTTTGAGAGTATGCTTTGCCATTGAAGGGAAACACAGGTAAGGAATATAACTGTTTGAGGCTAAACGAGCGATAAGTTACTTGAAAATTAATTTCATTTCCAAGATATGATCTTGAATTCGAAGTTGTAAGCCGGTCCTTTTTTGTTTCAGTTTCTTAATTGCTGAAACGTTGACTAGTATTATGTCTATATTAAAATGGAAAACTTGAGCAATTTTATTTCATGTTTTGGGAAACAGGTATCAAAGTATGATAAGGGGCAGTGTGATAATTCAGTGTTTTAAAATGCGTTGGCATCGGTTTCTTCGCAGATACCAACTAATTAGAGTGCATCAGAGCAGCCTTGGAGGAAACTGCAAGTTGGTCGAGATGTTTGAAGATGTTAATATGGTCGCATTTGGTGTTTCATTGACAGACTACGATGAGTTTTCTACAGATGTTAATGGGGTTTCCATAAACAAGAGGATGGCAATTAAGTGTTGATTGATTAAGGTCTGAACTGTCATTTCATTATTTGTAGCAAGCTGTTCGTTTGGGTAATTAGAGTTCTTAGTGATCAAGGGTTGAGATTAGATCAATTTGTAGTAGGCTCAAATGTGAGCAAGTGTCAAGATCTCATAGGGTCTTGTAATGAATGGTTGGATGAGCTCATAGGCTCTCCTAGATTCTCTCACTCTCTAACGATTATGTAAATGCTGATGTGATGAAATGAGCACACGCAGAAGAGCATTATAGCTCTCTTTGAAAATCTGAGCACTCTCTCTCTCTAAATTTTCTTTCTCTCTGTGCTAAATTGTTGCAAATACACCATTAAATAGTTTAGATTCTAACAGTAAGCAGCTATTTGAAAATATTGTTACTCATCGGGCCTTTGACCAAAAAAAACTCCTTTCTGATGTTAACTACATTGGAAGAGGCATGAAACTATCGAAATTACAGACAAAAAGAAGATGAAGGTTTAGAAGGAAATCAAAGCTTGTATTTGATAGTTGAACATATTATAGAAACTGAGAGAGAATTTACAATTTATACTAGCCTACAAAGTAACTAACCTTCCAACAAACTCTTACTAAACCAATCTTCACCATACATTCTCTTAATACTCCCCCTCAATCTCAACTGGGGTATCCTAGTTTGAGATTGCAACAAAGTGAGTATGAGATAAACTGTTGAATACTGCAATTTGAGACATCTGTTTCTTATTGATCTTTGCAATCTCCAAAGTGGTCTACCCTGCACCCGGTCCAGACTTCAGTATATGACTCTTCGGCTATACATGCCAATCATGTATCAAAGTTTTGGCACTAATGTTGATACGCATTATCCTTTTCTTCTAAGCAGACAACCACAGTGGGGTAGCAGCAATAGAAATGAGAATTTCCAGAAAGCAAAAAACCCAAAACCTCCATCACTTGTGAATACTCCAAGTTGTTAAACAATGCACCACTATCTGAAACAGAAGGCACAGACAGAGCTAAACATGCTATCAATGTCATTAGACTCATTTCTGCATCATTAACCATATCATCTTCTATATCACCAACCACAAATCAAATAGTTTCCTCTTTGTGGACAGACTATTCTGCGAACACTTGTCATTATACAAACTGAAAACTTTAGCAAGCGAACCAATGGATTGAAACCATGACACTATTCCTTTGCCTTTAATAAGAGCTTCACAAAGAACATCCTTCTATAAAGGAGTCGTAGCACACCCTCATGCCGGTATACAAATTCTTACGAGATTACCCTTCGTGGGATTTATCGTCAACATCTCATTCAACATGGGCTTCGGCCTTTAATATTTACAAACAGAAAATTAACAAACTATAGTATGGCATCGGCCTTAACTATAGTACCACGGGATCGCCCTTTGTGGATTTTACCATAAACAACTCATTTTAACAATGACATCGGCCTTCACAATTTCAACAACAGAAAATTAATATCTATGTAGGATTACCCTTCGTGGGATTTACCTACTCTTAACACGAGATTACTCTTTGTGGGATTTACCGTCAACAACTTCTTCAAACTTCATCTTTTTCCAAAACACGTATAACTGGACTTATAGTAGATACATGCTAACAACTGAGCTGGTTAGACTCAACATTATAGGCTGTTATAAGCTTCTGAACAATTCAAACCCAATAAAGAGACAGTAAAATTTCAGTGAGGCAGAGAGACAGAATTGGACACCATAAAAATTGCACAGTTCATGGTTTGAAAATCCAGCAAACCAAATGAAGTCCATGACAAACACTGATCTTGAAGCAATGAAGAATCTGGAACCCAAATATCATAAACAACTTGAAGAACCCAAAAAAGACGCACTAGAAAGATGATTTCATGCTTTTAAATCTCAACATCTCAACTTAAATGGTTTCTTGCCCATAACAACACACTAATTGATTTACGTGATGTGAATATTATGTTGACACACAAATTAACCTCTTTTTATCAATTGTAGCAAAGTATGTAAGTAGGGATCGTTCTAAACCGGGGATTAGGAGGGATTGCAAAATCACTTGAAAACTGACTCAAATACGTAAAAACAAGTTTAAAACACTAAACTAGACTCAAAGAATGCAAAACTAAACTTTAAAACACCAAAACAAACCAAAAGACTCAAAACAGCCCAAAAACACTCAAAACTGCCTTAAAACCACAATCTGGGCAGTTTTGAACACTAGACACAAACTTGGACGAAAATTGGTTTTAACTTGACCTAAGACACTTAAAAACACAAACTAAAGTGATTTCTAACTACTATGACTCAACTAAGTAAAGGGGGATTGATTTTGGACGAATTTAACTTTGAAAACAAACTTTGACAAAAACGTTTTGATGAAAATTAAGATGGTGAAAGGCTAGTTAGAAGGTTCCTTCTCCACACATGAAACATATGCATACGACTCGATTTCCAATTACTCTTTCAATAAACCATGAATGACAATGCCCCAAATTAACTAGATTGACCAATTAATTCTCAGATTTCCCTAGATTCATTGAATTGAATGGGATACGCATTACAACCAAATTATTCTTATCAAGGACCCTAACTATGGAATACGCATGATAGAGACACATATCAAAGATCATTAAGTTCAATGGAAATCATAAGCATTGACGAGGCATTCATAACTATGGGATACGCATGTTACTCTTGCCTAGGATTTACTTAACACAATCGTGACTAGCGACTTTTACTACTTATGAATATAAGTTAATAACGATTAGGTGAAATTGCCTTATACTCTAGCATCAAATTCATGCATGCAAACTAAGTGTCGACCCTCAATCAACATACATAAACATGTTATCAATCAAATAGATAAGTAAACCACATTCACGATTCATGAAAATTGGAAGAAATCAAGTTATATAAACATATGATCATGGCTTTGAATTCCCCTCTAACTATAAAGAAATTAGTTCCTCATGTTCGCAAATAAACAAAGATAAATAGATTTAAACATTAAAACAAAGATAGAAAACACCTAGAATCGCTCCACAATCCAAGCTCCTTGAATGGCATGCACGGCTCCAAGAGTTCTTCCTTCTTTTCCTTGCAAACTCACGGCACAATGAGGGATGTTTGGGTGAATGGTGTAGTGAAAATATGGTAGAGGATGGTGAATGAAAGGGTGCGGCAAGGCCTTGTATTTATAGGCTGAAAATCCCATCTCCTAGGTAGCCAAGGACAAGGTTTTAAAAGCCTAAGTTGCATAGGATAATAACATACAATCCTATAAGGAAAACAAGTCAAAACCCCAAAGGAATTGGGAGATGAGGTGCGGCACAAAGAGTGTGAAAAGATAAGGCTTCTAGAAATCTGAAATTCCAAGGGAAATAAGGTATAGGGTGCGGCACTTATCTAGGAAGGGATAAGGCTTCTAGAACTCCCATTTTAAGCATCCTAATCTAATTAGAAACCCTCCTAAGTGGCTGAAATGTGGATAATTTAGGATAAGGATAAGATAGGATAGGATAAGGTTTGATTGGATAAGATAAGATAAGATAAGATTATGGATGAGGTTTTGGATAAGATCCTTCTCTTGAGCTGATTCTTTGACTTTACTCTTCTTCTTCACATAGGAAACCTTGCTTGAGTAGGAAACTTCATACATCTAGGAATCCATCTTCAATTAGGACTCCTTCAGTGATTAGGAATCCCAATTCATTTAGGAATCCTTCATTCAAGCCATTTCCTTCTTCAACTAGGAAACTTTGTATCTTCAATTCTTCAACTTTGAAACGCCTTTCTAGCTTCATCAATCCCTCAAATTCGTCCATCCCTTGTGCTTCATGTGCATGAACTCCATTTTAGCCCAATTTTGCTCCAAAATGCTCCAAATTGCATCATTTTGCTCACTTTGTCTCTAAAACCTGAAAACACATGAAAATAGCTTAAAAGACTAACTTAACTAAGAAAACATAACATAAATGCATAAAAACTAGCTAACTAAGGCGTATAAATATGCTCCTATCATTATGCAATACTAAAAGAATCAAAGCAAGTAACTGAGAAACTTTTTAAAATAACAATCTATAGCAATAAAAAGAAGGGTAATGCTAAGGAGACTAAATTTGCAAACTAAATGACGTGTCACCAATTAGAACTAAGCACGTTAATCAAAACTTAAGTAATAATCCAATCATTAACTTCCATTCATTTTGTTTGCAAAATTTAATCTACATATTTAGTCTCTCTAGCATTACGCAAAAAAGAAAGTTGCTAAAATCAAATACAACACATTCACCAAATTTATATAGGCCCAACTATCAAAGTCTATAGGTCCAAGAAACAAGGCCCAATCCATTTACTATCCATTATTTAAGAAGTATGATCCGCTTTAATTTCCAAGGCCCACATACGATTGAGCCCCAAAACCATCTTCTTCCTTCTCTAATTACTTTAGTCTAAAGAATGGGGAGAAATTGCACTGTACAAATGAATAATGATTTGGGATGAATTTCAATTTATTTACAAGATTGCCACAAGGGTGACTTTAGCCAAATTTAGCTTATTTTACAAAATTGCCATTGGGCTTAAGAACTGGTTTTTAGTCTTTGGGCTGCATATGAGCTTTGACTTAGGGAGAAAGAGGGAAGGAGGACAAAAGGGCTGACAAATTGGAGAGAGAGGGTAGCTACAATTTTTGACTCGAAGACAGGTGGGTATGGCTTTGGTTGTTGCATCGATTGGAGGGTCGTTGGGGGGGGGGAGGAGAGGAGGGGGATAGATGGACTAACAGATTGGAGAGAGATGAGAGCTAGGAGTTTCGACTAAGTGAGAGAGAGAGAGAGAGAGATTTAGCTAGGTCTTCTGACAAGACCTATGGGATTTTCTACAATTTTAGAGAGAGAGATGGACAGGGAGAGAGAGAGGGGAAAGCATGGCTGTGTGCATTTTTTGGGGTTAATGGGTTACCACACAAAGTCGGTGAGGAGATGATGGCTGAGGGAGGTATGGTAGAATGTGGGTTTTCAGTTTCCTCCCCTGATTCAAAATGTAATGCACTATTTTTAATTCATTGTTTAGTGTTTGATTTGCCATTTTCTTTGTTAAAATTGTCATTAATATTTTGTTCTTTCATTAAAATTGTAATGGATGTTTATAGATTGTTTAGTTGGGTGTTAGGATTATGTCTCTGTTTTTTAAATTAGGGGGTTGCCCTTATTTAATTTCTTTGTTTCTTGATTAGTTTTT